ACGTTTATTTTTGTTTTGTAAAAAATTTTGGGGAAATTTTCTGTTCTTAAAATAGTTATTAAAAATTAAAATTAAAAAATAGCTCTTGTAAGGTTACTGAATGAAGAGGATTAATTGATTAATTGGTTTTAAACCCATCCGTAGCTGACATCTGGCCACACCAACCCGGACACCGGGAGGCTGTACAATCGGTTGATTTATAATAAAATGTTTAGTGGGAAAAATCCATTAACTGTTTGTTTATTCTCTTTTTTAAAAAGTTATTATTACCCATTTTTAAGTGTTAACGATTCCTCCTTACTAAAAAATAAATCAAAATCGCCTTGTTATAAGCTTAAATAAGCCGGATTATTGGATTAATTTATACAGAGTTTTGCCACAAAAATAATTCGCCGTCTAAGATTGTTAATGCAAACAGAAACTATAAGATTCTCCAGCACTTTAGTCAGTTAAAATCCACAGACACTGCGGAACAACAAACATTAAATACTTGTTTAAATAATGATATAATTATCCCCGCTGAAAATAAAGAATGATTCGCCTTTTCTATTATTATTATTATTATTATTATTATTATTATTATTATTATTATCATTATTATTGTTATTATCATCATCATCATCATCTCCTTCATAAGCATGATATTTAATTTAGTCATTTAAAATTTGTGTCATATATATTTAAAAAAAATCATAGCTGACAATTAAATATGATCATATATTTCGCCCTTCTCTTGCTGATCTTTTGGTGTCTTAATGAAATCTTGCGGAGACCTTGAAACGGGAACACAAGGAGAGGTTCCTGTACCTGAGGAGTAAGGTGTGGGCTGGTGCTCTCGCAGGGCTCCCAGCGTGCAGCTGGTCGTGCTGAGGGGAGTGCAGCCAGGGTTGGAGAAAGGGCCGCTCCGGATCGGGTTGTACTGGAAGGAGCTGGCCTGACTGCAGGAGCTGAAGTCCGCGTAGGCCGACGCTTCCATGGCTGCCATGCAGGAGTCATAGGAGTTCAGGTATGAGTAATCCATCTTATACATGGAGGTCAGCCGGCGCAGACACCGGTCTGTGAACAAGTGCGCTGGAAACTCGGGTCAGGGCGGCTTCAGTCGGGTCTGAGGCTGCTGTTAGTTTCTGGGATTGCTGTGAGTCGTTTAAACCAGTCAGAGTTGGACTTTTTTCTCCAGAATCTCCTGACGCGGTTGGTTTGTTTCTCCAGGCTTTTGTGGGCTTTAAGGTTTGTATGTCACCGTCACGCGGCTGGTAAGTAATCCAGATGTTTTCTCTGCAGCTCCGCTCTCTCTCCCTACTC